CTTCTCCTTTTAAACACGGGGTCCGATGACTCTGCAAAACCCGGCTGCGCCTGCCCGAGGTTGGCAAGTGCAGGCACAGGACAGAGGAGAGGAAGGTGGTTTTGAAATGAGAAGAGGGACAGGGACATCCCTGTTCCCCCTCCTCAGAACTGCCCAGATGGGGTTCCCCCCCACCCAGGAACCACTGGGTGCTCTGGGATCAGTGATTCCACAGGGATGTCAGCCATTCCCCCTTCCTTGTTTACTGGGGGGGCCTTCCAGTTACTTCTGCCCGAGCCCCACATCCCTCCTGCCAGAGGCTCCCCTGAGAGCTTTGAGGGCACCTCCCAAAAATTGATGGCAGCTGGGAAGGACTGAGGGAACACACAGCACCTCCCACATCATTTGGGCCATCTTAGGATGATGTCAAGGCAAGCTCCATCCTTCTGGGAAGAGCAAAGGGGACTTCCAGCCACCCACCCACGACAGGGCAGTTGTGAAAGCTCCGTCCCCCCTGGGAGCCCCGTGCAGGAGCACAAGAGCTGCCAGCTCCACGGCAGGGATGTGCAAGGATGACTCCAAGGAGGTCACAGACTTCACGGGTAGTCCCCACTCATTTGCCTCGCAGCACCTTGTGAGCACTGGAAAGTGTTTTCACCATCACTGTCATGTGCTCTGTGTGTGCAGGAACTATTTCTTCCACTTCCCTCTCCCAGTGAGATGAATTCAGTGTCAGACTCTGGATTTATCACCCCCTCACTGCAGGGCTGGGACAGTGGCTGCTCTCACTGCAGGGACAGGGAAGAGGGGACACAGATTTCAAGGCCATTTTATGTGCTGAGTTAAGAGCGGGTGGAAGAACTTCAGGCTGAATCCCAGACACCCTCCATGCCCCATGGTGCCCGTTAACCATCTAATCCTGTAGCACACATGGCAAATTATCGACCACTCTCAGCACCAGAGCACTTCTCCCACAGGTTTTCCACCAGCAATTCTCCACACACACACATCAGAGCCCCTGAGGAGCCTTCCAAGCCCTGTGGAGCCACAGGCTTGGATGACAGGAGGAGGCTGCAGGGCTGAACCCCTCCCACCACCCCCAGATTCCAGACAGACACACCAAACCATGGAATATTATTGCAGTCAATCCATGCCACGGGGATAGTGACTGTGCCCCAGCCAGGGCCCAGCCCTTGCAGAGCAAAGTATGTGGAGGAGGAGGAGGAGGAGACACGACTTGAGCAAGGGAAAGGAAAGGTTTAGAAAGATGGGATTTGCCGAACCCAGCTCGCAAATGGAGACAAGCCAGTACCTTTTGCTCCGGTATCCAGGGATCGTAGGAGATGTCAGGCAGGCTGGGAGGACGCAGCAGAGGTGGATCCTGCTCTGTTTGCACCCTGAGGTGTGAGATCCAGCAGCCCCCACCAGTGGGTACAATTCCCTGCTCCTGCTCTCTGTGACTCGGGTCCCTTCACATCCCGCTGGGGCCTCTCGGGGTGGCTCAGTGCCGGCACCTGAGCAAGGAGGGTGCTGAAATACCGGTTTCCAGTTCAGTCTCATGGTGGCAGCTCCTGGAGCTGACTCACTCTGGAGAGCAGACGGGTGAGTAACACCCGCTACGGCTGCAGAGAGAGCCCTTGACTAAAATAAAGATCCCCACCCCGCGCGTTCTGGCATTTCACACCAACCCACAACCCTCCAAGTTTGTCACTTGGGCTTTATCTGTGCAGCTTTAACCTGAAACTGCCCCCTGGTCACAGCCTGCCTTGACTAAACCCACCTCCACCACACAGCTGGCAGCTCTTCACAGCTGGAGGAGCCTGTGATCCCACTGCCTCCGCCAACACGAGCCGCTCCCTGGGCTGGCCTTGCTCCCAGCTGCTCCGGGAACAGCTGGATCCAAACTTCACCCCACGCCTCCTGCCACCTCCGGCAGCACTTGAGAAGGGAGACAGTGCAGTGAGCCAAAGCTCATAAATCACGGCGTCCATCACGTGGCAGAGACGCAATTTGACTGTCTACAGTTCGGAGAGCGGCTTGAAGTCCTCACAGACCTCAAAGGAAGGCACATGCAGAGGACAGGGAGGTGCTGGCCAGGTTGGGTTAACCCCAGTCCCTTTGACTGCTCAGTGCATCTCCCCAGCTAGAAAAAAAATATTGCAAAATAATTATTTTTATGCAGTAAGTTGCACGAAACAGGAGCAATTGAGGTAAAATCTGGGCAGAAGGGTGTGGAGGAAGAGGAGGGCTCTGTCTCTTCCTTCATCTGGAGGCAATCCTGGGCAAGCACACACAGGATGGGGTAATCCTCACCCTGTGAGGATCCTTAATCCTTAAGGATGAAGTAATCCAGGGCAAAGACCTTCCCCAGCCCCCAGTGACAGCACCAAGATTTCAGGGCCAACAGTAGGAAATCTCTGAGTAGCACCTGCGGTTCCTGCAGCAACACTTGTTTTGTGTAAGACCTCCAAGCACTTTGGAAATACCCAGTTACACCACTCTCCCCAGAGGAGGGAAACAGCCACCTTTTCAGCACAGGGAGCAGACACAAGGGGCAGGGAAAGACTTCTCGGGTGAAGAGCCTGAGTCACACCAAGGAGACGGAACCGCACATGGGGGTGGAAAACCTCTCTCTGCCAAAGGATTCAGCACTAACTGTTCCCTGTGGCCCCTCTTTTCCTTCAGTAGTATAATACCATCTAAATACTGGAATTTAATGGCACCAATTTGGCTTTCACATGACATCCCTCTGCTGCTCAGCTGGTTAATCATTAAGGTAGGGTCCAGACCTGGAGACGTGTTAATGCACAACATTTCCTGCTGCCCTACTCCCACCCCACTCCAGAGCAGCAGCAGACTTTCAACTGCACTTCCCTGCTTTAATATTTAAAACCTTTCATGTGGGCAGCAGGACCAGCTGACCCTTCCATGCTCCCTAAGCCATTTCCCAAGCAGAGAACAGCTCTCAATTCCCGTTAGGGAGATGGCAGCGAGTATCTAAGCCGAATTTGGGACTTCAAACAGGGATTCTCACCAGCATCTAGAATTGTGCTGCTCCACTCACCCCAACACCTGCATCAGCCCTGCCTGGCTGTGTGACTTGCCCCAGCCTTTTGGCCCCACAGCTTCAGCATTCCCAAAATGTGCTCCACTTCCCATCAGCTCTCTCCAAGCACACAGGAATACCAGGTTCAGTCTCTTTTGTTTTGCTCCTCCTCCCCTCCCCACAGACCACGACCAGCTCCAGCCTGGGAGAATGGGAACATTCAACCCCAAAGCACTGTGAAAAGCCCACAGTTCAAAAGCCAGATTTAGCTCAGGGACACCCGTGCTGAGGAAAGGAATATTTCATTTATTCCAGCCTGACTCATCCTCTAAATATATTTCCCTTTTTCCAGACAGCAGACCTCATGGTGTCTCTGCAGGTCTTGCCCTTTGTCCACACCAAGGGAAGAGACTCAGCTTGAGCCATGGAGCCGTTCCCATGGGAGCAGGTAGGTAAATGTTTCTCTCTTGAGGACCTTCAGTTGAAGAAAGATTTTTAAAAAGCCTCATGGATTTGTTCTGATTGTTGGCCTGAGAGCTGCACAGGGAGCTGGGCTGGGCAAGACACCCGGAAAGTCCGTGCAATCTGTGTTTTCCAGGATTCTCTGTCTGGGAGTAGAGGGTAACTGGGACAGAGCCAGTACAGAGAGGTTTCTGCAGCACCTTACAGTTGCATGGATGTGATTGAGGAAACCTTGATGTGCAGTAATTTAATTCACACAACAGGATTTAGCCAGTTCCTAGTGGACTGTAATGTTTTATCTCTTAAATGTTTTCCTCCTCCACCCACCTCTTCTAAAGAAAACCAACCCAAGTGGCTCAGCCAGCCTTAAAAAGCAGCAGAACAGCCATGTGGGAGGACAGGAGAGTCAAAAGGGATGAACAGCCAAGAACAAAACCCAAGTGATTTTGCTGTTTAAATCCCCCTCTCCCCATCCAAAGCTATCAAGTCACCATCAAGTTACCCCACTAATAAACAGAAGCATGCCCCAAGTTCTGAGCTGATTTCTGTTTATTTTCACAGTCTTGGCAAAACAAATCTGCATTCAAAAGTTCATTTAACATTAATATATTAATCAAACATTTTCAAAATAAATACTTTTTTTAAAATAACCATTTCTTTACATCACTGCAGTAGCAATTCTAGAAAAGTCAGTGCACAGATAGTAGCAACTTCATTAATCAGCTAAACTCAAACAAAAAGAAAACAAGAGGTGGACCCTTTTTCTCTCCGAGCAGGCTGCATGCAGCAAGTCTCAGCAGTTCCCTAGCACAGGGATCTTTCATCACACTTGCTGGGAAGGATTTTCTCTCTCAGCTATCAGAAGTCAGAGTAAGTGTGACTTGTGCAAAGCTTTGTACAACACAAAAGTTTCACAACCCAGATTCTGGTCAGTCCTGCAGAGGTTCTGCACTGGAGTTGTTGCTAATGAGACCAAGGAGTCAATGCTATGGAAGGAAAATGCTGGAACCCTCTGAGGAGTCTGTATTAAAGTGACTGGGAAGGAAATTCACAGCTGGAAGAGGAACACTAACAGCAATAAACAACATTCAAACCAGCAGCTCTGTTGTACCTTACAGCTTATGCCAAAGTTTTGCACATTCTCTCAAGTGCTTCCAGGGCAGAAGAAATAAAGCAACCACTTTCTCTTCCTTAGCTGTTAATTCACCTGGTAAATCCCAGCAGCAAGATGCTCCACTGGCCAAAAACTGTAACTCATGTTACAACAAATTAAAAACAAAAGTGCATTGTAGACTCTAAAGAGAATTTTCAGGATTTAGTGACTCACACAACTGGAAAAAAGAGAACAGAAACATTAGTGTTCCCATGGGATCTAAACTAGTCAGATGCTACTGAAGAACCCTGTAAAGAGCAGTGTCATACACTGTGTGCAGCAGGAGAATTTGGAGGGCTACCAGATTATTCACTACAATTGTCAGGAATGATTTAGCTAAAAAGAAAACCAAACCATAGGTGTCTATCTCCTTTGAGATGCCAAAGGTTCCCTTTGAAGCCCTTTCTTGGCAGCAGAGGGAAGAGTTGGATGTGACACTCTGGGTTGAGAGGAATAACCAGAGACACCCCTGTGTCCAGAGGTGCTCTTGGATTACACACTAAGGTAAAATCAAGATACCTCCAAACCCCCAGGAACCTTGTTTCCATGTTATGGGCATGTTAATCAGCAGTTTGGAGCAGCTGCTTACTCTGAAGAGGTACAATTTAAGTATCAAAGGAAACAGAGCTGAGGGAAGCAATCACAGATGAAGAGAACCTCCAGTTGTAGCGAGGAAGGAGGGAATGCTGCAGGACAGCAAACCCCCAGAGCTCCAGAGGTGACCCAAGGCTGCTGAAATCCCTCCCCTTGCTCTGCACACACCCACTACCAGAGCCCCTGAAAGCCATGTGCCTTGGGGGAAGGCTCTACTCCTCAGTGCTATGGACCCTGCCCCAGAATTCTGCCAAAATGGAAAAAAAAGAAAGCATCGAGTTGTGGAGAAGTTCTGTGTCAGCTTATTGGTTCTTCTTGTCCTCTGGTGGGAAGTACGGAGGAGGCGGGGGCTGGTCCTGGAATAAAGAGGGTAAAAGAACATCAGGTCATGGCTAAGACAAAATACCCCACCCCCACCCCCGAAACCCCAAGATACCAAAATCAGTTGGGACAAATTGTGCTGTGCCACTGAGAGAAGAACTGCCAGACACAGCCTTGAGCTCCCCGTGCAAACCCAGAAGGACACAGGGACTCACCGTGGGCATGTAGACATTGTGTGGGTTGCCTGGGCTGTAGTAAGCACTGGCAGCAGCTTCAGCAGCCTTTGCTTCAGCTGTCACAGAGAGAGAAGTGACAGGTTTGGGGGACACAGAGAACTCTTACAATCCAACAAAAACTCCCCATGTTCCTGGCCATCAAGTGCTACTAACAGAGCAGGGTACGACCAGTGCTCGAGTTGCAAAATAGCTACAACAAACACAACTGACCATCATCTCTTCCAGTCGCCACAGGATTGTCAACTCCTGGTGAAACTGAGCAAGATTTGGTTTGGAAATGTCAGCTGGGACCTGCCTGTCAGCCGTGAAATGCTAACTGCTGCCTTGCCTGGATACAGACAGTACCCTTTAAACTGGCAGTGAATAAACCAGCCTTCCTGGGAGTGAAGACACGAGGCAAAACAAAAATCAGCACAAGTTTACAGCAGCTCAGGGGATTTGTGTTTTAAAGATGGAAATTTATGAGGATGAGCTAGATTCTCTGTTTCTGCAGAGCACAAAAATCCTGTACAACCCTCTGGAGCAGTGCCACTTTCCAAATAATAATTCAAGGATGAATAGTTGTTTATTCAAACCTAAGAGAAGTTAAATCCTCATCTAGAGAAATATCCTTATCTCCAAGAGATCTGTGGCTGTGTCCAACCACAAAAGCTCTTCCCCCCAAACCACATGCAGACCTATGAAGAACATGTTCAAAATCATTTTAATAAATCCCAAATGAGTGAAAAATGAGTGTGGTATATTTCCCCACCTCCTTTCCATCATCTAGTTCCCTGTTCCATATTGGTTAAACAAAAGTAATCAGAGTGAAACAGGGGAAGGGGGAGTGAACATCACCCAAGCCACATTTGCAAACTAAAATGGGCTGGGAATACATTTCAACATCAATTTCTTTGTGTTCCTCCATGAGGGCAAGATTACCACCGCAGGAGAATCACAAACTGTATTTTGTCTGTCAAAAGAAGAATAAATCCAGCTGTAAAATACCCACTAAGGTTGCCTACTCTTGAGAGAATCAGGCTGGCCTCCAGACTGAGCTGGATAGAGAGGGCTGGAGACAGAGGACAGGCTGCAGGAGTTTCCTAATCCCTCTCCTAAACAACTTTAACCTTCTAAGTGGAGCTTTTAAGTTCCCCAAGAGAAAACAGACAAGAAACAATGTCTGTCTCACAGGTAACAAAAGTGTTGTGAGATAATTCACCTGGACACACTTTTCTTACCTGCAGGAGTGGAGGGCAGGTCTGGACCACTGACAGGGGGTTCCATGGGCCCTGGATATGGTGGGGGTGGAAGCTGCATGTAGCCCCTGTCTCCATCAGCCACAGGAGGACCAGGATAAAAGTCTGTCAGGAAAGGAAATCACACAGCAAAAGACTTAACTCCTTTGGGTGGAGTTACACGGCCCAAAGAAGCCAAGGCAGATGTAATTAAACTCAGGAACAAAAGCTGTACAAAGTCATCAAATCCAATCTAAAACACTGTGTGAAGTTTGCGTTCCCCTTTTTACCTATTTGAACTCTTACCAACTGGAACAATCCCCAGCCTCAATTCCCAGACTTACCAGGAGGAGGTGGCGGGTATGGATAAGCCCCGTTGGCTGCAGGAGGTGCAAAAGCATAGGATCCATTTGGCATGTAGGAATAGCCATAAGCTCCACTGGGTATCTCACCTCTGGAGACTGGAAAAGTAAAGACAAGATCTCATGAAAAACATCAAGCCTGCATCAAATGAACACCGACAAACTTAGGGAGTCATTATGGGAAAAACAAACAAGTGTCACCCCAACAAATCTGCTGTTCGCTGGATGGGAAAAAAAGTATTTTTTAAAAGTAAGCAAATTTCAGGTAAAGCCTGAAACTCACACATATTTGAGTCCAACCTGCTGCAACCTAGAGCTGCCCTTGCTGTGTGGTGAAGGCCAGGCCTCCTGAAGCCACAAAACCCTGACACAGAGCAGCAGACTCCCATACCTTGTGAGGCCACGTGCAGCATCGTCTGCCCGAACTCGATCGCACCCCCGGCTGAAAAGGTCATCTTGAACGTGGCAGATCCTTCCCAGCCACCTGAGGGAGGAAAGACAAGAGGAGTTCAGAAGCCAGGAGAAGCTGTTTCCGTGCTGTTTAGCTGCCATGTTGTATCTACAGATGTCCTGCATATAACTCTTGAAAGAGCTTATCCCAAAAAATCCAAGAAAAAAAAAGGCAGATCAAGTGGCAGAATTACACTGCTATCGGAAAAATTCACAGCGTGGTATTGTCAGGTCAACAGACACCTGCAGAAGAAACACCCATGAGGGAGACCTTCAAAAGCTTTCTGGAGTTGTGTCTGTTGCCACACCAGCTGCCACAGCTATCAGGAGCACTGGATTTGCTCCTGCCTTGGATAAGATTAGTACAGAAGACAGGGATTGTGTTAATCCCGTTTGGTAAAAAGCCTTTGCAACTACACCTGTCAGCTACAAATTAGTTTGGGAGTTTGAGTGCCCAGTGAAGCAAAGGGCTTAATGAAGAACATGGTCCACATAAATACATTATGAGTCCACAGAAGATATTTCATGTCAGAATAATAATAATAATAATTAAAAAAAAAAAAAGAGAGAATTTGTGACATCTCACATTACAGAATAAAAAAGACAAACATGCACAGAGTTACAACAAAGCATCAAAGCAGAAGCTGTGGCAGAGCTGAAAAAGAAACAAGTAGATTAAAGAGCCTTTTTGAGCTAAACCAGACTCTCATGGCTGTTAAGGCAACATCATCATTAGAAGAGAAGGCCTCTGGGGAAAATTCACAAAGATTTAGCCAAAGCCCTTTGCCTTTCACACAGTTTAGTTTGTCTTTACTGCTCAGGCTCCCTCTCACGCTGGATGGTCCCACTCTGCTCCCACACAGAGGTTCCAGTGCTGATTTCAGGGTTCCAGCTGAAGGCTCCTAAGCCTCGAGCTGGGATTTCTGTGCCACAACCAACAGACTGAACAGAGCTGAGGATGAAAGTCTGCTGAACTCTGTGCCTTTGGTAAAAACAACGGTGAAACCCAAAATTATTCTTGAAAACATCTGCCATGACCTTCTCATTGAACACAACGTGAAACAGCCCCTCGAAGATTTCCCCTAATTTCAAGACAGTCCATTCTCTTCCCAGTGCCATTTTCACTGCCAGGATGCACCCCAGCAATGGCACAAGAACCACGATGGAGGACAGTGCTCTGGGGATCTGCAGCTGAGAACACAAACAAATCCAGCAAGGATCCAAGTCCTTGGCACAGGAGGGCGTGGATGCAGGCGGGACAGGTGACCCCAAGTGACCGAAGAAAAATAACACCCTCACTCTTGCTGACTCCCCTCTGATGTTTACTTGCTGAGATCACTTGGGTGAGTGAAGTCAGTATTTTGCAGAGGGCAGGAATGGGGTGGGTTGCAGAGCAGACCTGGTCACTGTAACTGAACAGGGAGCTGATAAGGGGAATATTTTTAGGTGCAGGTTTCAAAGAAAGAAACACATTTCATCAGGACTGTGAAAACCCATTTGGTCAGTGTTCAGTTTTGGTTACCCAGGACTTTGGCAGGAACTGAGCAGCTGAACTGAGACACAGAACATACCCTGTCCCATACATACCTCCTGCCTCTGCTTTCACTGTGCCCTTGATATAATTTGCTCCAAACACCGGCTGTTTAATCTCACAATCCTTCAACAAATAAAAGGGCATCACGAAAGACTGCATTGCATCCTTCCCCTTGGACACAAAGATAACCTAAAAAAGGGAATAACATTACAAAAGCTCCTCAAAACAAACAAGGAAGCACGGTCCCGAGTTGTTACCCGAAGAGACTTTTGGCGGTCTGAAACTCCCTCCCACGTCATCAGTCCTGCAAGCCAAAAGCTACACAGAACAGCCACGGGGGTAAAACAAAGCCTCAAAGTAATAAAGCCTTCCACAAAGTGCCTTGCTCAGATAACACTCCCCACAGCTCCCAGAGAACTCGCTGCTCCACACAGCTATGATTTAGTAGCTGTGCTGTTGCACTCAGCATTTCCAGACCACTGCTAATTTCCAAATTGAAGATGCCTGATGGACTAAACAGCTGCCTGTACAAAGGCTAACCAGATTTATTATCTTTTGACAAATAGGTGGGATATGCAGTGAATTCATAATGCTTCCCAGAGGCAGAGGGATGAGCCCCACTTCAAGCAGGAGTAGATTATCCCGACTTCCATGCACTGAGGACGTTTAAATACAGAATGGCAGAGAGCCTTTATCTCCTTATCCAGGACAAAACCTTTCACCACTTACCCGGTAGGGAGTCAGGAAAACACTCCCTTTCTTGGTCCCTTTGAAGGCCTCTGGCATGGGTTCCATATCACTGAAGGTAATTTCTACATGGTCATAGGTCATCAGAACACTGCCAACCATCAGAGAACAGACAAGTGTTACAGGCCAAGGCAGAAGTGCAGCACGCACATGAAGTTTACTGACCTACCAAACCTGCCTGCTCCCTCAGGCCCGTGCTGAGCAGACAACATCAGCCTGGTTTGCTTTTCTATTCTGTTGGCAGCAGCAACTGAAGGAGCACTGGCTGCTTCTTCCCTCCTCGGTGTGCTGACACA